ACTGGGAGACTCTCACAGATGAATGGGAACAGCCGTTCCTCGAGCATATGGTCGTTACCAGCAGCAGCGTCATTAGCAAAGCTCTGGTTGCTTTTCAACAGATGGGCGCATGTAAACAACCCACTACTGCTTGAGACGATGTGATTGGTTTTAATATGAATCATATACATTTATGACATAACTGTCTCATTATCGTCTCTATTTTTCAATGGCGTAATTAACAGGCTTCTATTGTTCTCGCCGGGAGCTTCAACGACAAGTCAAGATCTGGAGAACAAGCGAAAAACTCCTGAAAGATGAGCAGTTCTTCCGCTCTCTTCTGTATTCATCTGCTGTCGGCTTCACAAGCGCACAACAAATCAATGGCATCTTTCTTCATTTCAATTAACAACACATCTTTAATGGCTCACATAAAGAAGCAATTGCAAACAAAAGCAGCAGGATATTTTTCATGGTCTCAGCGCACTAGTGATTAAAATCTCATTCAAATTCCTTTCTTAATAAAAAAAAGTTAGTTAAGCAGCTTGCAATTAGGAGTCACCTGCTACTCTGGGACAAACAAAACACAGAAGATTAGAGTAGGAGTTTGATGACTTACCATAAAGTAAAGAAAGGGGATAACACATAACATAACATAACATAACAATAAATAAAAATAAAGTTTCTACTGCCCACCAAGGCTGCACTTATCTTATTAAAAATACAATAAAAACAGTAATGTTGTAAAATATTATTACAATATAACTGTCTTCTTTTGAATATATTGTCAAATGTAATGTATTGCTGTAATCAAAGCCAAACTTTCAGCATCATTACTCCAGTCTTCAATGTTTTTTGTTTTGAAACCTGTGGTAAATGCAAGTATGTTTAGAAACATATTAAATAATAATAATCATCTAATAATTTATTCAAATGTATTAGTTTTTAAAATAAAATCATTATTTTAGAAATTCAATAATCCTAAATCATAAGTCTACAATAGTACATAATAACTTTGTACATGTAAATAATAATATATATATATATATAAAAAAAAAAAATAATAATAATAATAATAATAACAACATATAACTTACTAAAATGTATTAATAAAAATAAAAACGTATAATTAATACATTTATTAATAATACAAAGTTAAAAAGTCATAAATCTATACTTATTACATATATAAACACTT